TCAGCAGCTTATCATCATCAACAGCCATTTGTTGACTCCCCACTTGTTTACACTGCACAGTGCTAGGTGCAAGGAGATCCAAAAACATGAGATGATGTCCTTCCCTACTTTAAACTGATGACTGAGATAATTAAGGAGGCTTTCGCAGTGGTGTCTAACTGCCTCAAGGTTTGCACGTGACGAATGCATATGTGTAAGTGGGTGCTTAGAGGGCTAGTTAGTAAGTGCACATGTGTTTTGCCAGAGAATATGAGTCAACAGATGTAGTAAAGAGTATATGTTGGAAAGCAGGGTAAGATAAATTAAAATAGGCCAACAGATGACAAAAGAACCCCTCCACACATGGCCCAAAGAGCAAAGGAATGGTTCAGAAAACAAAATATCCATTGACATATTTGAAACTATGTCAGCAATGAAATACCTTCCTTGTTTTTCTTCATATAATCTGATAAATGGTATTACAACTCAGTGCCAAACCACTCCATAAAAAAAGAAAATGTTTAATCACACATTTTCAACAAAGAAAATGAACAAATATCAAGTCAAACTAAACTTTAATGAGACACCACTATATATTCACTCAAATGGCTAGATTTCAAAGGGCGAAAATATCGAGCGTTTACAAGGATATGGAGCAGCTCAGATTCTTATACAATGCTGGTGGAAAAATCGAAATGTTACTGAAGCTTCGACAAGTAATTTGACAGTTTTTTACAAAGTTAAATACACATTTACCATGTGACGTGGCAATTCTACTCTTAGGTATTTACCCAAGAGAAATTTAAAGACATATATTCCACACAAAAACTTGTACAAGAATGTTCACAGTAGCCTTATTCATAATACCCCAAAACTCGAAAAACTCACATCTCCATCAACCGATGAACTGATAAACAAATGTAGCATATCACACGAAGGAATACTACTCAGTAACAAAAGGAAAGAATTACTGATGCATACAACTACACAAGTTAATCTCAAAGACATTATACTACTACTACGGGAAAGAAGTGAAACACAGAAGATTAAATGTATAATTCCATTTATATGACATTTTTGAGAAGGCAAAACTATATCAATAGAAAGCAGATCAATCGTTGCCAAGGGTCAGGGTACGGGGAGGAAGGGATTGCCCGTAAAGAGGCGTGACAGAACATGTCGGGGGGTGGACAGTGGACTTGTTCTATATCATGACTGTAATCGTGGGTATGTGATTGTGCATATTTATGAAATCCATTGAATTATACCTTTAAAATCAACTCCAAAACTATTTTTTAAGACCCTCTGATGCATTAATTGGGAAGCACCTCTTAAGCATCCAGTAGGCTTTGTCCTAGTCTAATGGACATGCTTATCCATGATATAAATAAAAATATAAGACAGGTTTATCAAAGTTATAGCTGATTCAAGCTTAAAATGGCTAAAAGGTTATGTAATAGAATCATAATTCTAAATGTGTGAAGATGGAACAATTTGATAGTATTAATGTCAAACGTAGGTCAAATAAAAACTGAACTACATTCCAACGAAAGTTTTCTGAGAGACAACCATGTGTTGGCCACTACACTACTTGGTGAAAGTCACTGAGATTAAGTGAGAAAGCCTTTGGCCTTATAAAGTTCTCCCACGGTAGAAGATATAAAACTTATTAATCTAAAAAAGACCTACAAGTTTGAGTTTATCACTCTACCCTTACCTATAGCATGAATACTGCTAAATTTACAAGAGGAACTTACAGAAGGATAAAATTCAATACAAATGCTGCTCTAAATTGGCCAACCCGTGCTCTAGAGGAGTTTATGACAAGCCCCCTTCTAAAGCCCAGCTTAGGTGCCCGAATCTTCTGTTGCCATCCCCCACTACTAAACCCCAAAGGTGATGCATGAGCCTGGAATTACCCTGTACCTACTATACCACCCAGGCTGATAAGAGGGTTGAGTACTTAGCATCGGATCTTGAAACTGAGGCATGGGAAGATAAAAAGAGAAACTAGAAATTTTTACATCAACTAGGAAAATGCCTGGGAGTGGGGGTGGAAGGTAGACTATCATTTGGAGGAAGAGACATTGAGTGGCACAGGTTATCGACAGGCAAATATGGCTCGTGATAAGAAAGCATTCCAGCATTGAACAATCTCAAATTTGAATAGACTGACTCATAAGGTAGGGAGATCTGGCGACGGCCAGTTTTCTGAACTAAGAATTTAGCCATCCTCTATTCCTAATATTTCATCGTAATGTGCTACCTGGATCATTACGATCACCTCCAAACCAGATTTTCAACCTTCCGCGGGGAAGCAAAATCAATCTTTCCTGTGTCATGACCTTGCCCTCCTACACCCCTCCACCCCTCCACCGCCCCACGCTTACAATCCTTACTCTTTCAGCAGCTCCCTATTACCTACAGGGTCCAGGCCCAACACCACTCAGGCTGGCAGGC